GGCTGCCCTGTCACCTCCCAGGCTCCACAGCACAGGGGGCACTGAGGCCCAGGCTGCGGGCAGCTGCCCTGTCACTTCCCTGCTGCACAGGACAGAGACTGATGTGCTCTCATTGTCTCTTTTAGACAAATCTCCCAGGAAGATAAAAATTGGGAGACCAATATCCAGGAGCTCCAAAAAAAGGTATCTTGGTTTCTTTTCTCAGAAGCTTCTGATTCCCCCCTTGTAGAAGAGTGATCGAGTTTTCTTTTAAAAGTTTTATTATGATAATTATTTGATAATTATTCATTAGCACACACTGTATGTAGAAAGTTAGGAGACACAATGTGATATCTGGACACATTTGTACCCCGCAGGAGCAAACCCGTCATCACCACAAGTGCTCGCCTTGTCTGTGTGGACAGACACCTAAACCTCCTTCCTTCCTTTCCTCCCCTCCTCCTTGCCTGCCTGCCTGCCTGCCTGCCTGCCTTCCTTTCTTCCTTTTCTTAGAGTTCAAAATAGTAATTAAAAAAAAGCAGCATTAGAAATGATGCAAGTGTTGATAAAATAGCTCAGGGAACTAAGAGCCTGCTCAGGCAAGCATAGGAACTAGGTTTGATCCCTGGCACCACATGCTGCACAGGCCCCGCCTCCAGGCCTGCTGAGCCAGTGACCAAGACCTGTGTGTAATCTCAGTGCTGGGGAGGATGAAACAGGAGAATCACTGTGAATCTGAGCTGTGTAGTGAGACCTTGTACCAAATACATAAAAAAAAAAAAAGATACAAAATTTCACTAAATGAAGTAATAGGGGTTCAATCCTCGGTGTGCTGTGCTGGCCCCACCCCAGGGTGGTGCATGCCTGTAATCCCAGCTCTTTGGGAGGCTGAACACAGGTGGATCACTACGAGTCCAATCTATGTAATAAGACCCTATAGACCCTGTAGACTCTGTAGACTCTTACTAAAATACAAACAAAACAAAACCCCAAAGTAATAGGAATTCAACAATGGTTGCTGTATTGCATGACGTTATTTTCAAATGAGTTGTTCAGGTTACCAGATATACACGTGCAAAATTGGTTTAAAAGAAAAAACCCAAAACAACAAAGAAGTTATACGAAATAAAAGAGAAGGGCAGGCCAGATAGCTCAGTGGATTAAAGCACCTGCTTAGGCAGATCGGGGACGGGTTTGATCCCCAGCATGCTGTGCTGGCCCCACTCCTGTAACACACTGAGACTGCGACTGAGACTGGGTGTGGCAGCACACACCTGTAATCCCAGCTCTTAGGAGGCTGAAAACAGGGATCAGGACTAGTCCAATCTGTGTAGTGAGACCCTGTAGACCCTGTACTAAATACATAAAAAAAGAAATTAAAAAGAAAAAAAATTTAAGCAATGACTGCTTCTTTCAAAGGACCAGCGGAAACTGGCAGTACAATTATCCAAATTATCCTGCATATATACACAAATGCAGCTTCCTCTGTGTGACAGAGAAACTAAAAGAGGCAATGTATTTCTCCATCTGTCTGGATCTCCATCCATCAGTTCACCCATCCATCCATCCATCCATCCATCCATCCATCCATCCATCCGTCCATCCGCCCGTCCATCCATCTGCCCGTCCGTCCGTCCGTTCATCCGTCCATCCATCCATCCTTCCATCCATCCATCCATCTGTCCATCCATCTGCCTGTCCGTCCGTCCGTCCATCCATCCATCCATCCATCCTTCCATCCATCCACCCGTCCATCCATCTGCCCGTTTGTCCGTCCGTCCGTCCGTCCGTCCGTCCATCCATCCATCCATCCATCCATCCATCCATCCATCCTTGTCTATGTATCTATGTCTGTCTATGTCTATCTTTATGTATCTGTATCTATACAGTTTATCTAAAGTTCTATCTAGGTTTCTTTATATCTACAAGTCTACAACTATCTGTATCTAAATCTATCTCAATGTAGATGTAGCTATCCTTATGGATATCTAAATCTTTGTATATCTGTAAATCTGTAGCACCTGTAATCAGCTGCACCGATAGCAGATTCTGTGTGTCTCTGGGTTCTATATCCATGGATTCAACCAACTAGGACTGAAAATATTCAAAAATATGATTATCTGTATGGAACATGAAAGATGATTTTTCTTGTCGTTATTCCCTACAAACACAGTTTCATGGCTATCTGCGTAGTGCAAACACTATTATTATTAGGCATCGCAAGTGATCTAGAGATAGCTAAAGCACGAAGAGGCATTACATAGCTTCTATGCAAACGCCGTGCTGCTTTCTGTAAGGGACGTGGGCGTCTGAGGGCTCTGGGCCTAGAACCACGCTACCATTGCCAACAAAGGATGTTTATGGATCTGTCAAAAGCCAGGTGAGTTACACAGATGGATGGACAGCTGTGCTGGCGGGCCGCGTTTAATCGAGAGCCCCATGCTGCTGTCAGCTCCTGCGCAGAGCCAGGGCTCACTCTGGCCCATCCGCCTGTGCTTCCTTGCCCCTCACCACATGGCACCTCCTGGGGGTTCACAGGAAGAGTGTTCAGGTTGGATCTGAGGCTGGTGAAGGCACTGCAGTGTGCTTCCTGCACCATGGCTGACTGGGCAGGCTCCCTCAGGTGCTGCCCACAGTAGTAGGGTGACACCTGCACTCCAAGATCCTTGCAAGCCGTACACAGACAGCCTGAGCCATGGTCACCCAAGAATGTGTTAAGCTCCCCACCACAGGCTGTGCTTAGTAGGAATAGGAAAGCTGGGCTAAAATCTGGCGACCACAGTGACACCTGTGGAGATGCAGGGCCATCTCGAGGTCATTTGCTGTCTCCCCAAAGTCTTTGTTGACATCTCACCTAACACTGGGATGAGGCTGGATACTCACATGTTCTATTTTGAAAAACTAGTGCAGTGTTTTCCAAAAAGGCAGCACTATATTTTGCATCTGTGATATTTATTTTTCATAAAGATTTTCCATGCTGCAATCCGGGATCTGTATGGTTCTCCGTGTAATACATTACCTTGTTACCTTCTTCTAAGTTCAAGGTGTTCTGTTTTCCTGATAGTGATTTGAGTCATACTGGATTGTAACACACTGCAGGAATCAGCAAATTGCACTGAGTGAATGGGTTCTGTTTCTCTCCCTCACAGCACAGGATATCAGACGGGATTCTGCTTGTCAAGTGCCTGATAGTGCTGGGATTTGTCATCTTCACCTTCTTTCTCAATTCATTTGTTCCCAGCATTCATCTTGATCTTGGTAAGTCCAACCTTCTGTTAGCCTTTGCGATGGGCTCTGCAGTTCACATTGCAGCCTGGACCGGAAGGTTCCAGAGCGTGTTGCCCAGGCTCGCTGCTCCTGCAAACGCTGTGCAGCCAGGATGCCAGCAGCGGAGGAGACTGGTGAGAGGAGGTCCTGGTTTGGGCCACTTTCCCCTTGGCTGAGGGGAAGGGGTGTGTCTGGCTCTTGCCGAGGCCATGCCGTGGGCCCTCAGCCCCTTCAGGTTCAACATGGGAAGGGACGTAACGTTGGTGCTGCCGGTCCTGTTATGTTTGGTAATCACATCAGGACAGCTAAGAAGAGACGGAGTCACCACCGAGCTCCGTTCTGCCTTCTGCTAGCAAGACACAGCTACTAAACAAGATTGTCGGAGAGAAAGGGCTGTGGACCCCATGAGTGCAGCATAAGCTTGCTTTCATGGCCACTGTGGACTGCAGGAGCGCAGCACAAGGTCTCCATGGCCACTGTGGACTGCAGGAATGCAGCACAAGGTCTCCTCCATGGCCACTGTGGACCGCTGGAGCACAGCACAAGGTCTCCTCCGTGGCCACTGTGGACTGCAGGAGCACAGCACAGTGTCTCCTCCGTGGCCACTGTGGACCGTAGGAGCACAGCACAAGGTCGCCTCTGTAGCCACTGTGGACTGCAGGAACTCAGCACAAGGTCTCCTCTGTGGCCACTGTGGACCGCTGGAGCGCAGCACAAGGTCACCTCTGTGGCCACTGTGGACTGCAGGCGCGCAGCACAGTGTCTGCTCCGTGGCCACTGTGGACCGCTGGAGCGCAGCACAGTGTCTCCTCTGTGGCCACTGTGGACCGCTGGAGCACAGCACAAGGTCTCCTCCGTGGCCACTGTGGACTGTAGGAGTACAGCACAAGGTCATCTCTGTGGCCACTGTGGACTGCAGGAACGCAGCACAAGGTTGCCTCCGTGGCCACTGTGGACCGCCGGAGTGCAGCACAAGGTTTCCTCCGTGGCCACTGTAGATTGTAGGAGCGCAGCACAAGGTCGCCTCTGTGGACTGCAGGAGCGCAGCACAAGGTCGCCTCCGTGGCCACTGTGGACCCGCTTTCTTGGTGCAGTAAAGCTCATTTATCCCCCCCCCCCCATGTTCTCTATGGCTTCGGCCTTCGGCCTGCTCCTTTCTCCAGCCCTGTGTCCAGGTTGGGACCCCGCACAGACCCAGCCTTCTGAGGTTGAGCTTATCTCACGAAGCCCTGGCATCCTTCCAGGGTCCACAAACGCTGTCCACCTCCCTGGGACTTTCCTTACTGATTTCACAGTGATGTCACTTGGTGTCATTTTTAAAACAAAATCAAATCAAAACAACAACGGCAACTTGCAAAACCCACTGTGTATGAAAGTATAGATTTGTGAAAAAGGTGAATGGGAGGCAGTGTCAGGGAGTCTGTTTAGATCAGAATTAACGACTTTCCTTCTGAAGTAGGTTCCGCTAAGACATTTAAAATATCTCTTTGTACCTTAATTTCTGCAAAAGCCTGGTGTTCTGCTTCATGGGGAGCGTGCAGCTGCCACAGGAGGCAGAGCCCATCTACTTTGCAGCACAGGGGAGCACAGCCTGGTCCAGTCCATCGCGTCTGCCTCGGAGCTCCTGGGTGCATCAGACACCTGCGGGTCGTGGGGGTTGCCCTGCTCCGTCTTATACGAGTAAGGCCGCATCTCTACGTCCTGTACCCAGACTCGAGGCAGAGGGGCACAGCCCCTTTGAAATTCTTTCCCTTGGTTAACTCAAGCCCAGCTTGCCGGGCATCTTGCGCTTGGCTCTGGGTGGGCAGGTGCTGTTTATCCCCTCCTGAGAGTTGATTCATGTAGCATCTCAATCAGGGCTGAAGATGGCAAAGCTGGGTGCTCACAATGCCAGGCATTTTAGTTATTTTTGGTGGGTACCTCTAGAAATTGCTGCAGGGCAATTACTTTAATCTACCAGGCATAGTGCAACTTTAGCATTATAAATCTTTATCACCATAAGAATGTTAAGTGGTCACTATTGGTGGTTAAGCAAATACAATGAAACTGGTGTTTTCTGAGCACAGGGGCTTATTAGAGAATTCTTCTGGATGTTTACAGATTATTTGAGATTGTACTTGAAAAGTACAGGCATGTGAAAGGCTAAAAATACATGAAAGCTCACAATTTGGCTAGCATTTGGCTTTGTACACAGAAAAATACTTTTAAAATTTAAACATGTCTTTAAGTAGATTCTTCAAACAACGAGGCCACTGTGAAATACTTCATTTTCACCTGGGAAGTCCACCTTTTTACAAAACCTCCCTTTTGATGTTGTTGTTTCATCTGTGACTAAGGAGGCTATTTCTTCTCTGCTTTTAAATCTGATTTTGTTTTCAGATTCTGCAGTTTGTGTAAAATGGTTAAATCTGGGGATCCTGTGACTCACGTATTTGCTTATTGATCATGATTAAGATGAATAGGAGGAAAGATGGATGAGTCTCCACTAGAATACAGTTTCCTGAGGGGACAGTAGCTCTCCTGATAGGAGCAGGGGCAGCAGAGACGCGGGTCTTCCAGGGCCTTCAACCAGTAGAGACGGTGAGCACTTAACTACGGAGAGCTCTGTGTCTAGTGTGACCTGCTTTGTGTCCTGCGTGTCACGCAAGCAATGCCTGAGATGTTGTCACGGGACCCATGTGACGCCGTAGAAGCTGTGCATTGTGCGACCCAACACAGACAGCGTGTAATACACAAGCTGGACCTGGGGTGCGTGCCCGCGGTCCCAGCACCGTGGGATCTGAGGCAGGAGACTGCAGGTTTGGGTCTCTCTCGGCAACTGAGCGATTTAGTGAGACCCTATCTCAAATAAACAATAAATAAGGGCTTGGGGTACAGCTCAGTTCCAAGGCCCAGGTTTAACTCTCAGTAACACACACACACACACACACACACACAATTATAATAGTGTCACATATATAGTGATACCATGTAACATGTGACACAGCACAACATGATGTGATATAACACAAAGTGATGCCACGTGGAATACATGTTGTGTGGCAGGATGTGACATCACAAAAATAGTACTTCACTTAAAAATCATAATCCAAAGACAGCACACTTATTTTATTTTTTAAATTATCGTAGAGCAAAGTTGGCTTTCTTCCATGATAGTTTACACCCTTTAGGTGTAGAGTTGTAGGACCGCTGATACATTTGCAGATTACTGTGGCTGCCGACACAACCAGAATATCCACACCAAAAGGCCTCCTTCACACTCTCTGTCATGTTTGGGTCCAGATGTCCCCAGAGGCTCTGCGTGTCCGGGGTGGGCTTTGTGAAGGTGGCTGGATCTGCAGGGCGTGGTGCCGGGCTCCAAGTACTGAGTCAGCCCACGATAGAGCAACAGAAAGAGGCCCGTCTTCTCCCGTACGTGCTTGTTTCGCTGTCTCCTGCCTGCCGTGAACTGGCTCTCCTCTGAGAGACCCCTCTGCCACCCACCCGCCTTGGAGCCAGCCGTGAGCTCAGTAGCCCTCTCTCCTTTCGCCGTGGGCGTCGGGCATTTTGTCTTAGCCGTGAGAAAAGTAACGGAGACCGTCTTCTTCTCTGCTCCTTCCCCTGTGCCTCTGTCCCATTGACAGCTGTCTCATCTTCACCCCTCAATTGTTTTTTAAGAACTTTTTACTAGTACTATTTTTTTTTTTTTTTTTGGCGGAACCGGGGATTGAACTCAGGCCCTTGCGCTTGCTAGGGAAGCGCTTATTCCGCTGAGCCATCTCCCCGGTCCACTAGTACTATTTTTAGCGATGCAGTTTACAATTATCTTGGAGTGGTTATACAAAACACAGCTGGTTTCTTATTTTTGTTGGATCCCCTTCTCTCTCCCTCCCCTCCCATGCCCCCCCTGAACATTCCCCTGTCCTGATTTTCACACTTGTTGATAGCCTCAGTCTTAGCTTGTGCTGCGGTGCACCACATTATACTCACTGAGGCTGCAGGTGCCCCCTGTGGCAGGTCTCTGTTCTTCCCGTGTACCCTCCGCCCTCCTCTTGCCTTGTCCTTAGCCCAGTTCCCTAGTGTGAGGGATCCATCCCGTTCTCTCCTTCTAATCATCTTTATTCTTCGTTTGCGCTTTGCCTCACACAACTGAGACACTCTCAGGTCTTGAAGCTGGTGTGTCTGGCTTAGTCTGCTCAGCGTTGTATTTTCCATGTCTGTCCATTTTCCTGTTACTGTCTCAAATTCGTTATTCTTTATAAATGAGTATATTCATATTATATATATATATGCACACACACACACACACACACACACACACACACACATATATATAAAATTGTCTTTATCCATTTGTCTGTTGTGGGTATGCAGGCTGCTGCCCAGACTTAGCGGTCACAGATTGTGTGGCTACACACCCTGGTGTGCATGTGGCACTGCAGTGCGATGACTTTGGGGAAGATATCTGGGGCTCAGTGGGTCCCAGGGAGTTCCTAAGTCCAGTGCTTTGAGAAGGCTCCATACTGATTTCCATAAGGGTGGCGCCAGTCCCGCTCCTGCCCACAGAGGATGGTGGGGACCCCTTTTTCGCTTGCCATGCCAGCATTTGTTGTCAGGTACATGGCCAGACTGCAGGCAACCTTGTGAGAAATGCAAATTAAAACAATGCTAAATTCCATCTCACTCCAGAAAGAATGGCTATTATTAATAAATGATCAACAGTAAGTGCTTGAGGGGCTGTGGGGCAAAAGGGGCCCTTCTCCACTGCTGGTGAGAGTGCGGGCTGGTGTGACCACCGTGGAAATCAGTGTGGAGATTCTTCAGAAAAACTAGGATTAGGGGTCCCATTCAACCCAGGTCGTCCCCTTCTGGGCATCCTCCCAGAAGAATTAAAAGCCTCATATCACAGTGATATGTGAGCGTTCATGTTTATAGCAGCACAGTTTGCACTAGTTAAATCTTGGAAGCAACTCAAATGCCCATCAATCAAAAAAAGGGTAAAAATGGTGCAT